ATGCTGGGCAGTGGAGGTCAGGAGAAGCAACAGACAGAGAGTGAAAACAAACAACACCCACAGCATGCAGGGCTGCAGCTGGAGGCCGGAAGGGAAGAGAAACACTCGCCACACTTCCGGAGCAGTATCTCACTTTGGATTGGAGGAGGGAGTCTGCTGAGAGGTATTTCCAGCCCCGGAGAGGGGCAGAAGGGGGTCAGTCCCCTGCAGGCCGCAGGGAGAGAGGAGCAGCTGAGCGTCTTGGCAGGCAAGGGTTACGAAACTTGCGGAGGAATGCTGCAGGAGTGACCCTGAGCAGGAGGCAGGTGGAGGCCTGCACGCACATGGCTTTTGATAATCTCCGTAGCGGAGTGTCAGCTGAGGATCTGGGAAGAGAGAATACATGCGGCCTTTGATAAAATCCGGAGTTTAGTGTCTGGAGGGAGAGGCCTGAGGAAACTGCTGTTCCAGGTTAGAGCCTTGCTGCGCATGGGAGAGATTCCACTGGGACTGTGAATGTTCACAAGGGAGCCGGGCAGGCCTGTGCAGAACAGCAACTGGACTAATTGGTTTGTTTTGCTGTTGCAATTGGGATTTTGAAAACCTGACCCCAGGTGAAAGGGGTCATGGACTGAGCCTGGCAAGGAGACTGAGAGCATTTGGGGTTTTTCTTGTTTTTTTTCCTTTTTTTGATATTTTGAGCACAGGCCAAGACCAGCCCTGGAAGGGGTGCACCTAACGAAAGCCAAAAGTCACCCTGGTGGTAGAGGGCTGAACAATAGACTAACAGGCAGTACTGCAACCTGGCTGCAGAAGGACTTTGAGTACCAGCTGGAGAGGCTAGGCTGGGGTAAATGGCAGGTTTGGGGCGCGGGATGGAACTGCTGCTTGTCTGGAGGGGGTGGGGGTGGGAGTGGCTCCCACCACTGCTTGCTCCCCAGGAGGGCATGGGATGGAGGGAGGCGTGTGCCCCCAGATCTGTGCAGGGTAGGATGGGCAAACAGGCTGCAGCTGCAGGCTGGGGCTGGGGCTGCACCAGGTTCTTCTCCGCAGGGGCTGGACTTGGAAGGGCAGCTACCCAAATTTCAACATAGCTCCCCCCTAGCCCGCTCCTCCCAGCACCACCTCTGCCCGCCCCAAGCCCAGCCCCAACAAGAAGAGCCTGGTTCAGCCCCAGTTCCAGCCTACAGCTGCAGCTCACCTGTTCCACAAAGATCTGGGGGCACATGCCCCCCAAGCCCTCTCAGGGTGCAAGAAGTGGTGGGAGCCGCCCCCACTTCATTCCCCCCAAACGACCCATGGCTCCAACATATGCCCTGCCCCACTCCAGCTGGGCAGTCTGCCCCTGCCCCACTCCCTCCCTCATCTCAGGGGACATTGATCTGCCCCCCCCCATGCCTCTTCTTGCCCCCCCACCCCTCCCTGCCTCCACCACAAGGGACTTACCAGCTGCATGCAGTTGTATTGGAAATCAGATTGGTATCAGTCAATATGCCAACTTAAAAATCAGCTATCGGTATCAACCCCCAAAATCTCTATTTTTGCACCCCTAACTTTTTACCTAATTCTTCGTAGTCTCTCAGTGTTAAAACACAAAACAAAACTCTTGTGCCACAGAATTATTTTCTCATCAAATATTAATGTATGGTGCTTCTGTTTTTTTCAGCTCTTATCCAGCCCTTTTGCCTTTTTGAAGCGTCTAAACCATATATAAAATACTTTCCTTCTAAAGCTAAATATAAGACTGCAATAACGCTGCATGTTAAGACACTGAACATTTTCAGCGCATGCTTTTAAATCATGATTTTAGGCATATTTAATTCAGATGCTTAGGATCTAATGGAAAGTACAGATGCTTTTATGTTTACTGTTAATCTAATAAAATTGTTGTGATGAGGATCCAAAAGCTATTTTTATAGTAACTAGTTAGTCTTTTTTCTAATTTTGATTAATGGCTATGGACCAAAATCTATCATTGGATTACAGCAATTTGGATGGCTCACAGTGGCATTAAACAAATAGGATAAGATACTGAAAATATAGGTATAAATAATCTTGAATTTTTTTTTTATCGTATTTTTTGACCACAAACTTCAATTGTGAACTGGATTTTTAGTTATACTCGAAGTAAAGAATCTAAGTAGTGCCCTCTGCTGCTTCTAAATGATATTTCTTTACTTAATCTCTGGATAGTAGAAATAACACTTAATTGCTCTGAATTAAAGGGCAAAAGTACCAATCAGAGTTCATTATGTAAGTATGACAGTACCTTTCTCAAAGGAATCCTAGAATACTGTATTCTTAATATTTTTTAGATATTTTTCTGGATGTAGGAAGAGTAGAGCTTCATGCTCAAGTATCCTCCTGGAGGCAAATAAATATTTAAGTTGTCACCTTAATGAGAATGTACTACTTCTGAACTAAATGGATCTGTATTTTGAAAATGTTTCTAACACCTTCTTTCAGGAGCAATTAACATTTGAAATGGTTAGGGAATACAAACAATATTTTAAAGCATTTCATTTTTGTTTTTTTAATATTTAAAAAAAATTATGGTTTCTAGTTTAGTACAGTACATATGTTCTGTGCAGTATCTTGTGGTACTTCTCTGCCTGTTCTCAGAAAAAGTGGTTAGACTGACTATATCATTGCAAAATACCCAAGTGTAAGGAATGGAGATAAATTAAAAAAAAAAAGTCTTAAGTATTTAAATTCCAGTCAGACAACCCTCTTCAAACAAAAATATTTTATGTTTTCTAGAATAAACACAGCAGTGGAATCATAGGAAAAAATCCTTTGCCACCCATCTAGCTGAAATACCCCAGACTGTGGTGCTTGATTTTTGCTGGAGAAATCCTTGAAGCTGGATGGAAAGTTGAGAGTGCAAAGAGCCTGATAGCTCTAAGACACTGGTAAAGCACAAAAGATGAGCATTTTGGCTAAGGACAGACATTACACTTAAACTGGTTTAAGTGCTCAGAAACTGGTTTAAACGTGTAACAAAACAGATGTCTAGTGTACATAAACCAATTTGAAAATGGCTGAAACTGGTTTCAGATAAACCTGGTTGAATGTAGTATCAGACTTAACTGATTTGGCTCAAACTGGTTTATGCAATGTCTGTCCCAGACCCCTTCCTGGTTCAAGATAAGCCAGACACCTCCAGCATCTTAGCATGCTCTCTGGGCTGGATGGGGCTCTCTGGTTCACAGCAGGGCTGGCCCCTCCCCTTTGCTCCCTGAGCAAAGCTCCTTTGGCACAGACTTGCAGACACAGCAGGGTCTGCTGGCTTCCGTGTGCCCCCCTCCCCTCTCACCACTTGATGCTTAAGCAGGGATCCCTTCCTCCCCTCTCCCAAAGCACAGACCATAGCCAGCATGTGGTATGCTAGTTAGTGCTGTATAAAGCTCCTTCAGAGACATCAGGGTCTCCTGGCTTCCCCCTGCCCTACTCCCCACCTTTTGCTGCTCAAACAGGAATCCTCCCCTCCCTCCCATCTCCCACAGCACAGACCCCAGGCATGTAGTGTGCTAACTAATGCCGAGAGATGTCTTTGTGTGTGTGTCTCTCTCAAATTTCATTGGAACAGGCAGGCAGAGAGAACAGGGGTTTTGGAGCTAATCAACAGGTCACCCCAGTAAGCTGTTTGAGAAGAGTTTGAAGTAATGGGAGAGAGGCTACTGTTTTGCTGATCAGGTGATAAAGACTCTTATCAGCTCTGGGCTACCTTGATCACCTCACCTGTCAGTTTGCTGCAGACAGTCTGACAATCAGGGAGGGAGATTGAAAAGCTCCATATCATCAACAGATACATGCACTGTACACCCCCTCTTGCCTCAGAGTGCTACCAGGGGGCTGGGGGCTGACAACTCTTCCACCCTTTGACCAGCCAGCAGGAAAAAGCTTGGGATGGTGCAGGCAGACCTCCCTAATGAGAAAGTCCTGCCAGGGCCTGGCCACACCCCTCTCAGCTCAACTCTGTGCAAGGGAAGGGAGGGCTGCTCTAGAACCCCCCAGCTTCTAACCTGAGCCACTGCAGGCATGTGCCTGAATTTCCTCAGTCCAGAGAGAATGTCTGTCCAGTTTCCAACTGGTTCAGCCTAGCCAGGTTAGACTAACCTGCAAAGGTTGAATCAATTCAGGCTCAGGCTTTTTGAATGTCTGTCCTTAGCCTTTTTGGTGAGAAGTTCATAGGAAGACCAGTAACACTTAATGCTCCTTACCCACCAACCATAGGAGGAAATCTGATAGGCCTTTCGTGGTGGTACAAGGTGAAAAATTTCATTTTTGAAATGCTAAAACAAGAATGGGCGGGAACTGGATACAACACATTTGTAGATGTTTCCTTCAAGATTGTATGTCTAAGGTGAAATGGAAGAGATGGATAGTGATAGATAAACTTCTTAGTGTTGAACATGATCTACACCAACTTAAAGTTATTGAGATAAGCAAGTGAGGACTAAGTCCCAAGGAACTTAAAAAGCTGGTGCAGAAATATGCCAAGTCAATTATAAATAACTTTACCTGGAAAGGGGAATGGAGCAAAAGAAAAAATATAGTTGAAAAAGAGTTGCTATTCTTTGTATAAACAGGCAAAGCAGCCTAGACAGAACGAAAACATTGGAATGTAGTACTATAGTTGTCAAATGGTAGGTGTATTGTGCACTTACCTTTCTTAGTGCTCTGTTTCATTGTTTCATCTCTTTCATGCATTTACTCTGGCAGTTTTTGCCCTCACACAGTATATTGGGTTAAAGGAACTGATGGTTGAAGTGTATTTAAGTCTCTTTTTAGCCTTGTATTTCATTCATGTTTTGCAATACTAAGTTGTTTTCCTTTCCTTTGCCATAGGTAAATCTGTTAGATAAATTTGTGCAAATGCTGTGGTGGGGAAAAATCTTGCAATAAAGACTTTTAAAAGGGAGAAAAGCAGAGAGTTAGAAACAATATAGAGGAGGTTAAAAGCAATAACTAGATTATTTGAATATTTTTGTGACTATATTTGTTGATAATTTTTGTAGAATGAATTTATTTCTGGAAGTAGAGAAGCTGGAATCTGATTTATCTCTGTGGAAATGGAAATATGAAGAAATGAGACAGTCTAAGATGGAGAACCTGAAACAGGTATGTTGGCAAAAGAGTTGTGGGGAACACAGAACAACATTGAAGATGTGGACAAGTATAATAAGAGAATGTTGAATTTGCATAATTCAGGGAACAACATGACAAGGAGCTACCTTGAAATTTTCTGTTTAAAAAAAAAAGTCTATGTTGTTTGAGATTTAGTTGTGTGGGGAGTCTTACTACTAAACTTGAAAAAGAACTATTTGAAAGTTGAGTAAGAGGGTCTTAGACGGGTCCTCTTCCATACATTTTATGTACATATTCTACCTATTACAGTGCTAGGATTTTTCTGGCTGCTGTCAAAAATGTATACCATGCACATTAACTACGTTTTATGTTTTAGAATCAGTCATTGCTTACTCTACACTTATTATATGCTACTTTTGTATTGCTGCAAGGTTTTTTTATATATGCATGTTATCTGTGTTTGAAATCTGAGGTAATTTAAAAGCTCATACTTTTGGTGATATGGTTTCATGAGTCTATGTATGTGTTCATGCAGGCTTTTGGGTATTTTTGAGTTTTTAAATGTTCTCATGGTTAGTTTAGCAAAGTTTTTGAAAAAGTTTTACCTGGGTGATATCCACTCGTCTATAGGACTGAAAGATACAGGTGTTAAGGATTGAGATTTCATGGGTGTTTTTATACATGCTTTGGGGACGGAGAGGGGCACTTTAATTACAGTAGCTCTGGGAGCTGCTCTAATTAAAGCACCTGCAACATCTCGTGTATCAGCATCCCTGCGCTTCAAAATAGTTGCCAGGGTGCTTTAACTAAAGCTCGTTGAAGTGCCCCACCACCATTTTGAAACATGAGGACACTAATACAGAAAACATGGAGGCTTCTGGAGTGCACTAATTAGCATGCTCCAGAAGACTCAATTAATCACGTCTGCTGTGATGCGGTGTAATTACAGTGCATTGGAGCTGCCTGTGCACACCTACAGGTGATGTCTTAAAATGTTTTGGAATAATTGTTTTGCTCTAGCTGTAGTCTTAAATGTAAAACTAGTGGTTACTCATCTTTTTAAACATCTCAGTATAGCATGTAAAATACAAAAAAGCTTTACCGTTCTGATCTACTAATGCAAAGAGCTGGATAAATATTTTTTATTTCTGTTTTTTTATTAATTGTAATTTTTTCACAAAATTCACATGTAGGGAGGAGACATGAAAGGATTTTATAAAGTATCTTGAATAGTTTTATGTGAAAATATTGAGAGAGGAAGTTTTGGAAAACAAACGTTTTTACAGACATTTTCAAAATCTTGCTTCAGCTTTCAGAGAAGTCAAAATGTTCTTTTTTGTCTTGGAAACACATGTTTTAAGGGTTACAAAATTAGGAGGAGCTTTGGTTAAACCACAGGTCTCAGCAAATGGTACATTTTAGATTGATTCACAATGATTTTTCTATTAGATTTTGTTTAATCAAAGTAACTCTGTAGGCTTCTCTCAACAACACTTCTTGATTTGACTTAAACCCACTTTTCCCCAGTGTTGACCACCAAACTAAGAAAATTATTATTCACATATCTGTACTAGCTACTCTCTCTCTCTCTCTCTATATATATATATATATATATGTTAAAATATCTTATCTATTTTCATATTAGCTCCACCAGTTTATAGATCCACTGGACTTGGTTCAGTAATGTTAATTCAGCTATGCATGAAGGGGGCTGTATGTTGAACCCTTTTTTCTCAGTTTTTTGGCTATCTACAGTTAAGTTGTTGTCCTTGTGGGGATAATGCATCATTCATTGTGGTTTAGAGTTCAATGTTTGGGGAAAAAAAACAAATCCCTTCTGCTAACAATAATAAATATTGGCCACTATATCCTGTGGGATTTGGTGAAATACTGAAACAGACTCATGCACAGTGCTTTTCAAGGATGCTTGTAGGGCAAGTGAAGTTTATTGTTGTGAACTAACAAATACAATTGGATATTTTCCATGTCCTTAACTTTGAGAGTCTAATGCTTTGGTTCAAATTTAGGTGACATGTCCAGATCATTTTTTACAAAATCTCAAAAATCCTGAGAGCCAATAAATCCCAGTTTTTTCAAGGTTCATGCCACTTAAAATAGTCACATTGCTGTAAGTGACAATTAGCACTTTGTTTCTTTTAAAAGACCAAAATCCAACTAATCTCACCTGGCCTAAGCAATAAGTAAAGGAGTACAGAAACTTTAAAATTATCATACTAAAACATAGCCAAGTTCAGTTGCAAGAAGCATATTTGCATATCTTAAAAGCAGGAGACACAATCTGCTTTTGTCTGTGTGTGTGTTTAAAGCTTCACTGAAACAGTGTTTAAAAATTATAAACCAGTTTCTAGCCTTCAATTAGAAGAAGTTCTGACAATAAAAGTAAAACAATTTTGATATAATATTGAAGAAGGATAGAGCATTATGATGCCTGTACAGTAGATACAGCACTGCATCTGTCCTGGTCAAAGTCATAAGCCTGAGACAACTCATTTAGGGAATAGCAATTAGGAGTTTTGAGTTCTTTTCACCAATTTTCCATTGTGCAATCACTTTGTGTCTGTGCCTTCCTTTATTCATTTGTGAAATAGTTGTAATTGTATTTTTTTGTTACAATGTTTGGGACAGATGGCGTGGTGGAGGGACTGTATTTTTATAAAAAAGGATCTATATTGTTGGTTTGAATGAGTCCTGTGGCGATGGGCACCATAGCACATGCCTGTGAATGAATGAATGAATAAATAAATAAGTCCTTCTTCTGACATTGATGTTCATCCCACCTTAACAATATCCCTTTCACACCAGTTTGCTGGTCTCTTCTAGCCCTCCTGGAAAACATGATGGCTATGACAAAAGGAGCTAATATGGTTTTAGCTGAAAGTTACATGCCAGGCCTGACATCTGTGACATTAGATGACTGTGCACTCTTAGAGAGTTATTGCTTTTTGATTTTTTCCCTTTGAACTCTTCAGTGGTTATATGGAATATCACACGTACAAGAATCAGAGGTAGCTATGTTAAGTCCTTGGAACTCTTCTTAAAAACACAAAATTAGAAGCAATATACCAGGAATCTTCAAACAAGGAACAATATTTGGAAGTCTGCTGTGGAAGATTTATATTCTACAGTTCTTGTTTTTCTACCACAACATTGTTTTCACATATTTCAGTGTTCTGATAAATGCTACACAGCAAGCATTGTACACTTTTAGTAGTTTTCAGTGATGGGCTTTTTTTAGCAGTCTTAAAGCTAAATACAACATAATTTTTACTTAGTAATTTTACAATAAATTAGAAATAGAAAAAATATGTGCATATACTGCTACTTGCCACTGGTGTGCAGTGTAGACTTAAAAATGCTTCAGTAGAGACTAATACCTTTTCATTTATTTAAGTTAATTCTGTTTTTGTGGCAGTTAACAAGTTTAAACTGCAGAGCATAAACTCTTAACTGAGCATATAAGTTAAGAGTTTAAACTGCACCTTTTACTTTGGCTTGTCTAATTTTCTGAAACAGATTTTTTTTTAAGTCAGTTCCCAAAACAAATGATAAAAAAAATCACCAAAACTGGCACTTAATGCCAACAGGAGTACCAATACTGGGAGAAGTGCCTGGAACCGAGTGGACATTGCCATGAAATGAATAAGCTTTCTTCTTTAGTTGAGGCATATTTACAAGGAAGTGTCAGGATGCCTGACCTGTCACTGCTCTTCATGTTCTGTGTATAAATAGAAGAGTCAGAACCTGATCACCAGCTGTTGATCTTTGTGCAAGTTTAGTGCTAGGGAAAATCTCTTTAAATGTCTTTCAAAAAAAGTGTTCCAATCTCTACATGCTTTAAATGATAACTTATGGGTCTCTCTACATACTTCTTTTGATTTAAAAAAAACAAGCTA